ATGAACTTGTTTGCTGTTAACCAGACACTCCAGATTCGTAAATATCAAATAGAAATAGGTAATTATGCTATTTAGGAATTATTCTTGACAGTGTCTCATTTGACCTCTTCATGCCCTTGGTCACATATGTGGACGTTTAGTTCTTTATAATTATAGTTACTGTCAATGATAAACAGACCAAAATTCTCACTACGGATTATTAAAAAAACAAAAAAAAATCGTTCATGAAGAGGTTAATATTGGAAATAAAGAAAATCAATTTTTTTGTCGATCGTTATGAACTATAATTTCTCTTAGATATTTCGTTTGTGGGGTATCGTGTGCAGGAAGAATAGAAAACTATGATAACGAAACAATATAATTTTTATATATTATTTTTTTTAATTTTTATTACATATAATTTTAAAAATATTAATTGATACGTTTCAAAGTTGGGGAAAAACGAAGGAGGAAACCTGAAACATGAAACATGAAAGCAGAGATACGAAATATGTTTTACAGCGCGTTTCTTTTTTAAATATAATTTTGAAAATATTGGTTGGTGCGTTTTAAAGTTGGGGAGAATCGATTTGTAGGTCTTTAACGAAGCGTAATGTAATTATTAATGTCTCGCGGTTACGCTAGCGCGTATTTGCCGGCGAACCAGTGTGCGTGGCTTATTTTTCTCAAGGCATGATTCATTTTTTCGTCGATCATATCACCTTCTACAACTCCCTATCGATTCTCACACTTTATTGGTGTTGACGGAGCCAGCCAGCGTAATTATCCGCAACATTATGCCAGTATTATACACCGAGTAACTGTTTCTCGTTTCCGTTATAGCTAATTAAACAATTAAATTCATTTAGAAGCATCTCTGAATAATCGTTGATCTTTCGTGAATTATTTAACGTTAATTTTCAGTGTTTTAGACGACATTTTTTACATCAATAAAGCAATTTTTAACACTTCTATCGTCTCAGTAAATTTTTTAATTGTAAATCTGAATAATCGTTAATCTTTCGTGAATTAATAGTGTTTTGAACGACATTTTTTACATCAATAAAGCAATTTTTAGCACTTCTATCGTTTCAGTAAATTTTTTAACTGTAAATCTGAAAATATAAATACGTTTGTTACATTTTATTTTTATTCTTTAATCTGGATAGTAACGAGGGTATAAAAATATTACAAAATTTATATTACAGTGATGTATAATACATACTTTTTAAAAAAAAAGAATCTCAAACGTTCCCTTCGAGATTTTTACCCAGTTTGGAAATTCAAGAAAGAATTCAACTCGACTGTCGAAATCCAAAATGGCCGCTGGTCCCCTTGGAGGTTCCAAGACTTTTCTCTCGCAAAAAAGATATGAATAATCGCGTTTTCGTGAACGAAACCGTGCGTTTCACGCGAGAAAACATTTCGACATTTTTCTTAGGCGTGTATACAACGTGGCCTCGAAGTCTCCGGTCTCGTACGTGTAATATATTGTCTCTCGTTATTGCGTGCTTTATGCACTCGTCAACCGGCCGATCACCGCGCGCGACAAAAAAAAAACGCCGCGCGAATTTGTATGATAAAAACCACACGTGTTTCGACACAACACACGGAACGAAAGAGGAATAGTAAAAAAGTAAACGGAACGAAGAAAAGGATTCCAGTAAAACGTGTAAACAGAAGGAAAAAAAAAAATTAATTACAAAAGACTTTTTTTTTCGTAAATAACAAATGTTAGAAAAATTATTTTATTTGATATACTTGTCTCTATCGATAGTATTCGAAAAAAAGTAAATTCGAAACGTATAAACAGTGGAAAAAAAAATTAATTGCAAAAGACTTGGAGGATCAGAAATTGTTTTTTTCATTTTTTTCAAATGACACACGTTATAAAAATTATTTTAATTAATACAGAATATAAATAATACAGAAGAAAAAAAATTAATTGCAAAAGACTTGAGGGATCAGAAATTGTTTTTTTTTTCGTAAATAACATATATTACAAAAATCATTTTAATTGATACACGTGTCTGTATTCGAGGAAACGTGTACGATATTCATATACGATCGTAAAAATCGCTAGTTCGCGACACCTGTGCCATTGTGTGGTTCCTAGGCTGTTCAACAAAAAGGAGACAAAGTGCAACAAAAAGGAGTGACTCGACGTATTCTCGGTGCTTTGAAAGAAACAATGAAATAACAATAATCTTCGTACCGGGTGATATTTTTCCCCGTTTCTATTGGAATCCAGAAGAATTTAAAAAGCGGTTAATTTGTACGATAGAGCCGCGTTTCACACAACGCGGAGGAGGGAAAGAGACGCGGGCAAAAAGTGAATGGAACAATTAGCCGCGCGAAGGAAAGAATCCCATGGAATAAACGAGGGAAAATTGTAATTAGAAGAGCCCGTAGTGCCAACAGCGACAGAAAAAATGCATTGCAAACGATTCCTGGGGATTCGAGTGTTTTCATTTAAATAAGAACGCCTCAATAGTCCATGTTTTTCCGTTATTATCGACGATAACCGATGGTTTTAAGTCCTTGTATCGTGAAAATAGCGAAATTACCGGGGGCAACGTTTATAGATAACAGTGTCCAATTGAAAATGGAAAGCGCCTCAAGTGCGTGAGCATGCCTGGTGACATATATCGATAAGTTCGCGTTGAAAATTCGCAGCGTTGTACGCAACGACGAGCGGTAATAGTCTATTTACTTATGTAACGGCGTAATAAAAAATTGTATCTCCGGGTATCATTTTCGAATTCGTCGTAACGAGATACCTAAGAATGTAAACAGAAGATCCAACGACGATCTCAAACAAAATATTGCAAAGTTTATTTTGCATATTTAATCAAATTTTTAAGCATCAGCGTTGTCTCGGGAAACGTAGGGACGAAGGAAAGTTTAGATCTAGGGTGATTAGGATGACGCATAGGGTACACTGGCTATCGTGGGTCCAAAGTATCGCAAATAGTTTTCGTAGACTCGGTGAAAGTGCAGGAAATATTTATGCGTTGAGTTACGGGGGTGCACATGAATATTAATTAGTATAGATTACTATGACATTACGAGTTAACGTCGGTGTAATCTTTCGCGAAACACGTGTACGCATAACTTAAACAAATTGAAACGAAAGGCTAATGGTTCACGACTTGACAAGTTTATTTTGTCGCCAGTGATTATGCTCGTCGCTGAATAATTTTCCTACGCCTTTCCTCGTGCATATCGATGATAAAATTGAGAATTAAAATTAAATTAAGAACAATCCGTTCGAGTTTCAAATGAATCGCATGCGGGAAGCCCCTTGAATGCATATATTTTCTCAATGGAGCATCTCGAGTTTACTACGGTCCATTAAATCGTGAGTCTTCCATTTTGGTCTACGCCCGCATATAATTCCTGCCTTTTGTGTCGATCGTAATCCGTAACCCATATAATAATCTTCAATCGTGGTCACTTTATTTTCGCCACTAATTTTAGCTAATTTATCAACGTCTCTGTTTCGATCATTCGGGCAACAAAAAACATTCGTTTAATCTCCAAACTATTCCACTGGAAAACAGTCGACTATTTTTTATAATTTATAAGAGTTTTAAGAGGCTTCAGATTTATGATCCGAAGGAAAAAAATGGCGGTCTTTTTGTTCGAGCGTCGATTCGCCACGCTCTAGTAGATCGATCGAAAGCGACAGTGGTACTCTGAAAGCGAAAAATGTGCGCAAGAAACGAAGAAAAAGGACGAAGAGTCGAAATAGGAGCGTGCGAGTGTTCGAGACGGAGCCTTGAAACAGCAACGAACGTCTCCTATGCAAAACAGTTTTCGTTTGAGAATCGTAATCGCCTCCAATGAACACGTTACATCCTATTTTCATCTGTTTTTCTTGATAAATCAGTTTGCTCCTCGAAATTGTGTCTTCTCACTTCATTTTCTTGGAACATCGTGATTGTAAATCTTCTACCGTTTGATGTGTGTGTTTAGGGGGCTGAAAAGTATGCTATTATGGCTTTCCTCGGTCGCTATTATGAGTTTTCTGAGTCAGAGCAGAAGATTGCTAGGACAAGAGACTCGATAACGCTTCGAACCTTCGATATTTGCACCCTTAGAGGACAATGATGAGAGTTTCTAGCTTTTGGTAGCTCAAACTGATGTTCTCGATACAGTTTTCATGAATTCGTGCAATAGTTGTGGCTATTACGTGAAACGAAAACGTGTGAATTGAATTATTAGCACGCGTGGCCGGTTAACAATGGCAAAATGTGCGAAAATTAGTTGTTTTACGGAACTGCAGCGTATGGAAACCTTGAAAAACGGCTGTGCTTTTTCCCAAGGTCCTGGCCTGCGTCGAACGAACCAGGATATGCGTTCTGGTCTCGGGACAACGGTGTTTTTGTTCGAAACGCGGAACACTCGCCCGATTAAAGTAATTGTATTTTTTCAAAAAACAAGAACATCTTTTAATCTTTTTTAATTTGCAAAAATATACGACCCTAACCCAGACCTAACCCAGACCTAACCCAGACCTAACCCAAACCTAAAGATTTAATGGGAAATTTGAATCCTCAAAAAACTACAGAATGCATTTAATATGCAAAAATATAAGAAATATTTAAAGTAAGATACGAATTATTATATTTAGGGGTTGAGACAATCATCTTCAGAGCTCCAATTTCATCAATTTTATTAATAAAAATGTGAATTTGCATAAAGATCCGCAGTCTAGTTATTACACTGATATTGTGGACCAAAGTGAGATGCACGAAGATGCTAGAAATATTATTATAAATGTAACTAAACAAAGGTAATAAATTAAATGTATGATGCCTGAATAATGATTGATAGATCACGTACACGTGACATTGGCCAACGTCTATTAGCTTCGCGAACTCACGTATACGTGACAGCGGTCGTCAGAGTATCAACTTCGAATTTTACCAAATATCATTTCGAATGAGATCAACGATGTTTGTAATTGATAAAGTTTTACAGTATTTTGATTGTTAATTTTTAACAAAATCGCTCACCTTTTGATCCGGTTTCTTCATCCGGATTTGCGGATTTTTTCCCAAACGCGGGCAGTCGCATGTTTACGAAGCTACCGTCGATTTTCTCGAAGCAATTCTCGTAGAACGCGATCGCGAGGGAAACGATCCATTCGATCGGGACCCGCAACAAGCCACACGCGAAACAGTCGAGGAGTTCCGATGTCATCAAGTCTCACAGACACGAAAACAGTCCAGAATGTATATATCGGTCTTTCTTGCAAATATCCCCCTCGATACTCAACGATAATCGTCTATTTGCAAACCCAACACAGAGGATTGTAAAATTATCTTTTTCTATACCTCGAAGAATCTAAATTACTAATTTAAAAACTACTTCGTTGTTTCGTCTCAAATTCTGCTAGAAAGAATGTGATTCTGAGTAAATATTGCGGTTCGAACATTTTTGAGTAAGTTAATGTTAAGAAAAAAAAATTGTAATGATTATAGATCTCATCTTAGAAAATTTCTAGAATTCAAAAGTTACGCCATGTTGTTTTGAGACCAAAAACTTTACTGTATTCTTCTTCGTATCAAAACTCGAATCAAACAATTTATTTTTATCGTTTAACGTTCGTTTCGAAAGGGTGAGAATAGCCCCCAAAATGGAGGCACTAAATACAATATATCACAGATTAAATTTACTCAAAAAATACACAGGTATAAAAAATACAGGTAATGTTTTCAGCACCCCCATTTTTAGGAGTATATTTAATTAAAATCCACCCTTTCAACACACTAACTACCACGTCACAGTTAATAAATCAAAATTTAAATAAACAATTAATCTTCCAAGACCAGATGTTAAAAAAAATAAATCTAGATAGAACTCTTCAATTTCAATGAGTCCTTAAAAATAAATTCAATAACAAATTATGAAAACAATGTTTCGTTTTCTTGGACCATGTGAGGCAGCTAACGGTGTAGAAGCAAATATCAGTCATTAGAAAAACCATAAGTGTAAAATAATTGTTAAAAAACTGACAAAATATTTGTTCAAAAACTGAATTTGCCCTTTGCACTCCGAATTCTATTTAAATCTTGTTACCAGCTGCTCCCAATGCTTTTGAGTGTTTTATTTGAAATTTACGTTGATTAAAAATTTTCAAGTGTACATCTCTTTGGGTTGGACTTGAAAAAATGTCGATTGAAACTCGACAAAGGAGTTCCTGAGATAAAAATTGATGTCTCGATCTTCAGAAAATTTACACACAAATTCACGTTGCGATTCACTGACCAATTCACAGTCGAGAGTGCATTTTCTATATGAGACACTTTTGAAAACAAATATCGGGGAACGGGTGACAACAAGGAAGCGATCGTTGGCGAGACGAGACCGCTTCAAAGAGCACGTTCCCGCCAAAACACGCGCCGCGCGAAAGACACACCGAAGGAATGAACCGACCAGCAGTAAGTCGATGCGCTTTTGTGGTTTCAAAAGCGACCGCCAGCATCCTGTCTACAAGGAATCACGTGATTAATCTTTCGTAGACGCGCGACTGCGTGAGCGTGTGCTATGCGAGAACGGAATAAAACCTCGCTTACCGACCAGACGAGCGCTAGCGAGAATCCTGGAAAACGTAGAAACGAGAGAGATGGAGATACGAGGAAGATGAAAAGTGGAATAAAACCAATAGCAAAAGGAAATTTTCATCTCTGGAGAATCACGTAAACGGGACACTCGTTCGTAAGGAATTTTCCCTTGCTAGACGAAAGTGTAATTGGGGACGATTTACGAGGAACAAAGATGGCGGATTTTTGGAAGAAATCGCAAGTAAAATTTGGAGACGAAGAATCGGAGAATTCCATTTTTAGAAATTGTAGGAATAGAATTATTAAACCTGCAGACGATGAAATCGAGGGAAATCAAATTTAGATGTTAGATTTTAGATTTTTTAGAAACAAATTTGGCGGATTTTTAGAAGAAATCGCAAGTAAAATTTGGAGCCAAAGAATTGGAGAATTCCATTTTTAGAAATTGTAGGAATAGAATTATTAAAGCTGAAGACGAGGAAATCAAATTTAGATGTTAGATTTTAGATTTTTTAGAAATAAAGAATCGGAGATTTCCATTTTTAGAAATTGTAGGAATAGAATTATTAAACCTGCAGACGATGAAATCGAGGGAAATCAAATTTAGATGTTAGATTTTAGATTTTTTAGAAACAAGGCGGATTTTTGGAAAAAATCGCAAGTAAAATTTGCAGACGAAGGATTGAAGAATTCCATTTTTAGAAACTGTAGAAATAGAATTATTAAAGCTAAAGACGAGGAAATCAAATTTAGATGTTAGATTTTAGATTTTTTAGAAATAAAAAATCGGAGAATTCCATTTTTAGAAATTGTAGGAATAGAATTATTAAACCTGCAGACGATGAAATCGAGGGAAATCAAATTTAGATGTTAGATTTTAGATTTTTTAGAAACAAATTTGGCGGATTTTTGGAAGAAATCGCAAGTAAAATTTGGAGCCAAAGAATCGAAGAATTCCATTTTTAGAAATTGTAGGAATAGAATTATTAAATCTAAAGACGATGAAATCGAGGAAAATCAAATTTAGATGTTAGATTTTAGATTTTAGATTTTTTCATTGCCAATTGTTTCGTCAAAATCACGAGACCTTTTTCAGTTTGTTTTAAACGAGAAACGTTTTAATAGGCTAGCGTATTGTCTAATTCAACGAGGTCACGAATCGATCTAAATAAATATTGTCGTTTGAACGCGTGTAAGGTGTCGGACGACAGCTGCAATTAGCTCGATGTTTGATTGTCGAAGTGCTCCCATTACACCTGGCCGCACGCTTTCCGATACCATTAGAAAATTCACGAGAAAATTTAGCCTAACTCGACAGTTTTTTTAGAATTTTTCAGCGAGTTGAAAATTTTTCTAAACAACGCAAACGTCTGTTCGAAGCGATCTCGAAATTATGCTCAGCCTCCAATTTTGCAATGTTGCCTGGTCGATACAGTTTTGAATGACCAGCGTTGTCCACGAGCGTGAACGATAAGCAATTTTAATTGTCGTCAAATTTTAATTTTGAAATGGTCGCGAGTTATCCTTGCTCGATATCGAACGAGACCGTGTTTCGAGCAAGATGGCAAAGCGTACGGTTACACAACTGTTCCAACAACTGCGAGACAGTCGAAACGACCTTGATACTAATATGCAATTCGTTTAAAATATCCTGTTTCGCCAATACGATTACGAACCGCACAACCGAAAGTTCGAGTCCAGCACTTTGAAATGGGTGACCGCCTCCGGGGAGGAAAAAATTCGTATTCTTTGTTGTGGCATCATTATTAATTTATACTGTTTATATTATAGTTCTTTGTCGGTTTTCTAATTGGGGTATTAATTGCCCTGTTAATATGAAAAAGAAAAAAAGGTGGTAATTTGTAAATAAGGAGTTAAAAAAACAATTACGATAAACACAAAAAATTTTAATGTGAGATTCTAGAGACTAAAACAAGACGAAAATCAAGAACACTAATTTTTTGATTGAGGCTTCCTTAAAAAGTTATTAACGTTTAAAGTTCCATACCGAACAGAAATTTTGGCGACAAAATTAAAAAATTTCAAATCGTTCTGGAAAAATTATTTTCAGTCGCGTGGGTAAATTGCAATCATTTTTGGTGAATAGACATACCCCCGAAATCTTACGCAGTTTCGAGAAAAAAATTCGTGGAGGTGTGAAATTTTTCGACAAAATTAAAAAATTTTAAATCGTTCTGGAAAAAATATTTTCAGTTGCAGGGGTCAATTTTAAGTGTTTTTTGTGAATAGGCATACCCCCGAATTCCTACTCAGTTTCGAGAAAAAAATTCCTTACCGAAAATATCATTTCTAGCCAGAGATGTCTGGCCGAATTTTCATGCGAATCTTCAAAACGTCATAACTTCTGAACGGATTGGCCGATTTTAATGTTTCAAACGGCAAACAACGCGTATTTTAGTGGAGAATATGTAGAAATTCGAAAAATATTCGAAAAGTTGCTCCATAATCCCGTAAAAAGAGAAAACCCCCATAAAAATGGTGCAATTTTCAAACAGTCATAACTCCGACAATAGTGAATATATTTCGATGAAACTTTTTTCTGAAGTAGAGCTCACGGATAGCTACAAAAAAGTATTAAACAACTTTTCTGTACAGCGTCAAACAAATTTATTAAAAATGAAAAACCAATTATTAAGAAAAATCGACAAGGGGGTAGTGCCTAAATTTTTCGGCGAAAAAAAAAAAATTCAAATCGTTCTGAAAAAATTATTTCTAGGTTCTGGGGTCAAATACAAACATTTTTGGTCAAAAGATATACCCCCGAAATCCTGCTCAGTTTCGAGAAAAAAATTCGAGTAGGTAGACAAATTTTCGACGAAATTGAAAAGTTTCAAATCATTCTAAAAAAATTATTCTTAGTTGGAGGGGTCAATTACAATCCATTTTGGTCAAAAGACATACCCCCGAAATCCTACTCAGTTTCGAGAAAAAAATTCAAGCAGTTGTTGAAAGTTTTCGGTGTAATTAAAAAATTCCAAATCGTTCTGGAAAAAATATTTCTAGGTTCTGGGGTCAAATACAAACATTTTTGGTGAATAGACATACCCCCAAAATCCTACGCGCTTCTGAGAAAAAAATTCGTGTATGTAGACAAATTACATTAATAATCTTGTTAATAACTTTTTAACGAAGCCTCAATCAACAAATTGGTATTCTTCATTTTCGTCTTATTTTGGCCTCCAGAATTGCTCATAAAAATTTTTTCCCAGGAAGCAGGAAAAATAATTGTCACAAATTACACAAAATGGCGAATAAACTTTACATTATAAATTGGTATCTCTTGAAAACAATGGAGGCCGCAGACCAAGTATGTAAGTTCGATAAAACTTGTTTGTTTCCTTTGATGTGCTCTGTGAACCATAACGTTTGGTATCTATAGTTATGGGGCACCCTCTGTCAGATCATTGGAAGGGTAAACCAACCCCATCGTGTCGTTTAGTCACTTTGCGACACGTAAGTCGCTCCGCGACGTCATTCACGGTCATTGAAGTGACCCTCGATTGCTAATTAAACTCACTCGAGGTTCACAATCATCACACCTTAACTCAACAATTTAAAAACAGCTCTTAAAATCATATTCATCAAAGATACAAATGCTAGTTTATGCATTAACCCTTTGCACTCCGAATTATATTTCAATTTTGTTACCCAGCAGTCCCCACAACGCTTTCAAGTGTT